CGTCGTTTATTCCAGATCAGCCTGAGCTTCGGCGAACCTGAGCTCCCGCGCAGCGCGAGTGTCACAGGATTGGCGAGGTGCGCTTCTTGATGGTGATGATCATGTTAGTCTCCGATGCCACAGCTTCTCCCCTTCTTAAAAGTTCAAACGATCAGAAGCACGGTGCTTTCGCCTTGAGCGCCGCAAAAGTTGAGTTGCCGGAATTGGTGAATCTCTTGGGCTTTTAGCCAAAAGTGTGTAGCGTCGGGCTAGTGGCGGCCAGCCGGCTGGAAAAAAACATGACGAGCGCCGGTGGCTTGTGGTGTGAGGCTCCTGGAACATTGGTGCTTCTAGCTGGCTGGATGCCACGACCGCTGCTCTACTTCGGCAGCTCGCTTTCTCCTGTACGTCTCGTCTGCTCATTAAGCCTGCAACGACAGCACGTCTACGTCGGATGCCGTCATCGACACCTGCAAGTTCTTGACGGGCTGATAGCATGTTGGTGTCGCACGATTCGTCAACCTAAACATCCCGCCGCCGCACTTGGTCAAAATGCCGCCCTTCCGTTCCCTCAGTTGTGTCCACTGTGATCATGTACTTGCCTTGCTGGTCCCGCACGATACCTGGTATCCACCTTCTTCGTGGCTGGAAGGTTCGTGTCCAAACACGCTGTCCTACCGGCCACCGCTGTTTTCGTTTGTTGCATGGCTTTGCTCTATCAGTGGCGGTCGGCATAATGCAGACGAGTTTCGTTCGTATTTGATACCCCAGCAAAAGCTCCGCTGGAGACTTCCTCTCCTTTACTGGTGATGGCCGTAAAGGTACAGAAATCTTGAAAGTCGAGTTTGTAACGGAATTTCTTCGTTTTTCTTCAAGCCTTCTTTCAATATTCTTGTGGCTCGCTCCACTAAACCATTTGGTTGGAGATGATAAGACACTGTCGTCAAGTGTTTTTTTTTTGGGTTCTTAGCTAGGAAACTGTGGAAGTGGAAACACGTGAACTGAGGTTTATTAACTGTCACAAGAGTATGTGGTAGACCGAACATCGCAAACATTGCCCTCAGGGCTTCCACTGTCACTTCTGCTGTTGCAGATTTCATTAGAACTGCTTTCATTCACTTTGTTTCGGCATACACAACTACCAATATCATGTGTCCTTCAATAGGACCTGCGTAGTCGGCATGCAACCGGCTCCATTTCTCTCCCATCCTGGGCCATGGTACAGGTGTTTACACTAGCGGCATCACCACAGCCTGTAGACAAGCAGGACATCCACGCACCAATCGTAAATTTAACCGTCTACACCCGAAAACCAAAACAGGGATCTTGGGACCTAGTAGAACTCGCTGTTGAGGTAGTTGGTGCGTGTTTTAATAAATAGTTAACGTCGCGCCGAATGAACAACCACACAGAGAAACACACACACACCACTGGCGCTTCCAAACATGTTGACTGCCAGCATCATTCCCGCAACATGCCGTGGCCGGTGCTTTGGATCTTGCAATGGTATTCTTAGTTAATATGCCTTAGTGTGTTTCATGAAACAAGTCTGAGATGCAATGATTTAGAGCCGCGGGGTGCACGATGCGGTGTTCCCAGTAGACCAAGTCTTTGAAGTAAGTGAGCTCAGCCTTCTTGCTGAAGTGCGGCTGGAATCGGCTCTGCTCGTCAACAAAAATTTCGGCCAGTCTTTCTTAATCCAGAATTTAACTTGCTGCTGCAGAGAATCTGTTTCTGTATAATGTACCACATCGCTGACACTAATCGCTTCTTTTTCCCAGCATTCAGAGTACAGGACATGCATTGGCGAATTTCTTGTGTTGGTATCGTGTAGCTTGTTTGTTAATGGCAGGCGACTTTGGCAGGTGACAGCATTTGAGTTCTCAGTTCCCCTGCGATACAGCAATGTGTAATTATAATTGTTCAAGAAAAGATACCACTTCTGAATTCTTTGCATCAGCTATGGGACAAATGGCTTTTCCTGAGTTAAACGAACCCGTCAGTGGGTTATGGTTGGTCACAAAAACAAAGTGATTCCTATATAAGTAGTCTCTAAATTCCATCACACCAAACACAAAGGCCAATGCTTCCTTTTCTAGCTGTCAGTAGCTTCATTCCGCTTTGGACAAAGCTTTGGAGCGAAATCTAATCAGATAGTCTGTACACGAGTCCGAACGATATGTCTTGTGCTGACACAGCTAGGGAAAGCGTAGCGTCCCCTTCGTGGCACGCGGTTGACGCGGCACGATCAGCTGTTAAAAAGGAGGGGGGGCAGCGCACCGCCTGCTGCGACTCTATTCAGTTTTCCCCGTCGTCCCTAATACTGAGCCGCAATCTCTTAATTGCACAGCTGCGCACATAGCAAGAGAACAGGCCCCGACTTCTGTAACGCGCGGTTCAATGCGTTAATTACGTCGCGCACACACTCGCAAAAAAGTTCATCGCACTCGCGAAATGCATGGCGGACGACGTGTCGTTGATTCCCTAACTCTGAGACACGATCTCTTAATTCCACGGCAGCGCACACAGCAGGAGAACGTGCCCCGACTTCTGGAACACTCGTTGTTTGTTCATTTTGTTAATTAAGACGGCCAATGTAGCTCACGCACTTGCACAATGCATTGCGGACGACACCAAATCCTCACGGAGAAGCCACAACTACAGGAGCAAATTTGTCCACTAAATTTGGTGGCAGTCTGGCAACTGACTTAAGCAACGCCAAACAGAACCTTGCCACGGGCTGTACTGCGTTTTGGTGTTGCCACAGACAATAAAGTGTTGCGACCTTGAGCAGTACTGTGTTCTCGCCATGGCGACGGTTAACACGTGCCCTGCGACTCGCTAAGGCCGCTAGTGGCTGTAACCCACGCTAGTGGCTGTAATCCTTCGGGATACATGTCACTACATAATATAGAGCTTCTTCTCATCTTCCAAGCTATCATCAGCTGCTGCCGACAGGACACAAGCACCACGGGGCTTTCACTGGGTTTTTTCTCGGCACATTTCAACGACATGTCCTCGTTTATCGCATCGGCGGCAGACTGTGCGGACATGATAGCCCTGCTTGTTTCAGTGAGGTTCACTGCTACACCTATGGCAAGGTGTCATGCCTTCGACCTTCGATTGCCCTTTTCGTGGCCGATTCTAATGCATAAATTGGATGCTACTCTGATCGGTAGATTGCATGTTTTTAGTATTCGCGGCTGCGTTCTGAGCTGAAATAACAAAATCCTCTGCTTTCGTTAGCATTTAAATTTATGAGAGTCTGCAAGTGTCGTCTCACATCTTCATCTAAGACTCCACACACGATTCAGTCTCATAGCATGCGTTCGAGCGACGATTCGAAATTGCTTTTTTTATGCCAACCGCCTTATTTTGGCAATGAATTCCTCTAACCTTTCTTCTTCTAGTCGTGATCGAGTAAAGAAAACATAACTTGCCGCTATTTCGTTGACTTCCGGGGCGTAGTACTCCTCGAGGTAATTAATGGCATCATCGTAAGTGCATTGATTTGCCTCAGATGGTAACATTCCTGGACCACTCGAGTTGCGCTGTCCGGTAGCGAGGCCACTAACACTGCTCGTCCATGATGTCCTGCGCTTCGAATTCGAGGCGAACTTGGAACGTTGACCACATTCTCTCAAACACAGGTGGCAGTCCCACGTTCATGGCTTTGTTGGTCCAGGACTGGTTGAGGTGGTCGTTGTCCTCGTTGCCACTGTTACAATGCACGACACTCACTTAACAGAACATAGGTAGCATGTGCATGTGCGCTTGTGTTTTCTCATATTGCATTATTGCCGTTCATCTGCGTTCTTGTATTTCAAGAGTGCATTCGGACACCGGACACTGGATCAAAGGACAACAGCTACGGCGGGATGGCCGTTACAGAGGTATCGCAAACAGAGGAATGTCGGAATCATGGCAAGTTATAGATGGTGCTCATGGTAGTAGTAGTAGTAGATGCATGCACAAAAGCACGCATCTTACAGTTCATCTGTTGGGCATTGATGAGGAGACCAGATGAATGAAGTGTGTGTTCTGAAAGACTTCGCCTTTCACATTCTCGCGTTTGATATGTGTTCCCTTCTCATACATTTTACCGTATACCACCTGAAAGCGTAGTGGCCTACGCAGAGGCCTGTAATTGCGTTTTGTTTCTCCCTCTTACAAAATGCAGTTAATTGAGTACCTCGTAAGGTATGAGCGCTACGTTCTGATACATGCTGTCTGACATGCATGCGCGGTCTAAAGGATCGTGCAATGTTGCATAAACTGGTGGGGTGGCTGCAGAGAAGAAAAAAAAGTCCACGCGAACTCTTCAAGGGACACTTTTTCGGCGTATTGTTAAGGTTTCACAATCTCGAAAATACCATACTTACTGGGGATGTTTGGTAAAGAAGAAAACGTGGGAAAAATTATGTGGGTTGAAATGCCACCTTAAGATTCCTGTGACGCCATAGAGTTTGAAGGCGTCTACCGAGTCCGACGTAGCTCCTAATCAATAATGATGAAGTACATTGCCATCTGTGGCTCTCATAAACCTCGCAAGCGGTGTTTCAGAAAATTTCGTTGATTCAATGTACCAAAAATTAAAAAAAAACACATTTTGAAATTTTTGACCTCGTACATGGAGATTTGGGTGCGAAACTTCAGAATAAAATCTGACCGAGATTTTCTTCATTTATAATGAACTTGTGATATTGTTGCGGGAAGAAAGCAAGAGCTCGTGTGCCTGTTTTCATCCCGCAACAATATTGAAACGTATCAGAGCTCTCAGAGTGCAGTTTGTCTTTCTAAACCAAGTCGTTTCTACTTCGTGTGCCGTTACGTGTTGTGCCTAGAACATGGCGGGCCTGATGTGTATGTGAATGCAGAGACTTTCAGGTTCATGCCTTTTTATTCGAAGTAGTGTTGTGCTGGAGTGCAAATTTGAGCACTGTACACGAGCTCCCTAATTTCGCGAACTCCTTCTTCTCTGTTGCTTTGTCACCACATCGTGACATTTTGACTTCACGTAGGTTTCCCGGCTCGGCACTTAGAGGCCACGCAGACCCGCTTCGTCCCGGCAACAACAGAGTGGCCTGGTGTGCAAGATTTGAAACCAGGTAACAAAAAGAAAAAGAAGTGCGTGTGCCCTTGTGTTTTCTCATATTGCCGTTAATTGCTGTTCATTTCTATTCTTGTATTTCAAGACTGCATTCGAACACCGGATACTGAATCGGAGGACAACAGCTCTGGCGGGATGGCCGTTGCTAAAGTACCGCATACAGAGGAAAAACACCTGAATAATGGCAAGTTATATATGGTGCTCATAGTTGTAGTGGTAGTAGTAGATGCGTGCATTTGTGCACGCATCTTACAATTCATTTATTAGGTATTGATGAGGTGACCAGATGAATGAAGTCTGTGTTCTAAAAGACTTCGCCTTTCACATTCTCGCGTTCGATACGTGTTCGCTTCTGATACGTTTTACCGTATACCACCTGAAAGCGCAGCGGCCTACGCAGAGGCCTGCAATTGCGTTTTTTGCTCCCTCTTACAAAATGCAGTTAATTGAGTACCTCCTAAGGTATGAGCGCTACGTTTCGATACATGCTGTCTGACATGCATGCGTGGCCTAAAGGATCGTGCAATGTTGCATAAACTGGTGAGGTGGTTGCAGAAAAAAAAAGCCATGCAAACTCTTCAAGAGACACTTTTTCTGCGTATTGGTAAAGTTTCACAATCCTGAAAACACCACCCTTACTGTGGATTTGTGGTAAGGAAGAAAACAGGTGAAAAAATATGTGGGTGGAAACGTCACCTTAGGATTCCTGTGACGCCGTAGATTTTGAAGGTGTCTGCCGAGTCTCACGTAGCTCCTAATCAATAATGATGAAGTACATTGCCATCTGTGTCTCTCATAAACCTCGCAAGGGGTGTTTCAGAAAATCTTGTAGAGTCAATGTGCCAAAAATAAAAAAAAAACACATTTTGAAATTTTTGATCTCACGCATGGAGATTTGAACACGAAACTACAGGATAAAATTTCGACCGAGATTTTCTTCATTTATAATAAACTTGTTATATTGTTGTGGGAAGAAAGCAAGAACTCGTGTGCCTGTTTTCATCCTGCAACAATATTGAAACGTATGGCTTCAGAGCTCTCAGAGTGCAGTTTGTCTATCTAAACCAAGTCGTTGTTTCTACTTAGTGTGCCGTTACGTGTTATGCCTAGAACATGGCGGGCCTGATGTGTATGTGAATGCAGGGACTTTCAAGTTCATGCCTTTTTATTCAAAGTAGTGTTGTGCTGGAGTGCAAATTCGAGCACTGTACACGAGCTCCCTAATTTCACGATCTCCTTCTTCTCTGTTGCTTTTTCACCACATCGTGACATTTTGACTTCACGCAGGTTTCCCGGCTGGGCACTTAGAGGCCACGCAGACCCGCTTCGTCCCGGCAACGGCAGAGTGGCCTGGTGTACAAGATTTGAAACCAGGTAACAAAAAGAAAAAGAAGTGCGTGTGCACTTGTGTTTTCTCATATTGCCGTTAATTGCTGTTCATTTGTATTCTTGTATTTCAAGACTGCATTCGGACACAGGATACTGAATCGGAGGACAACAGCTCTGGCGGGATGGCCGTTGCTGAAGTACCGCATACAGAGGAAAAACACCTGAATAACGGCAAGTTATATATGGTGCTCATGGTTGTAGTGGTAATAGTAGATGCGTGCATTTGTGCACGCATCTTACAATTCATTTATTAGGTATTGATGAGGTGACCAGATGAATGAAGTCTGTGTTCTGAAAGACTTCGCCTTTCACATTCTCGCGATCGATACGTGTTTGCTTCTGATACGTTTTACCGTATACCACCTGAAAGCGCAGCGGCCTACACAGAGGCCTGCAATTGCGTTTTTTCTCCCTATTACCAAATGCAGTTAATTGAGTACCTCGTAAGGTATGAGCGCTACGTTTCGATACATGCTGTCTGACATGCATGCATGGCCTGAAGGATCGTGCAATGTTGCGTAAACTGGGGGGGTGGTTGCAGAAAAAAAAGCCACGCAAACTCGTCAAGGGACACTTTTTCCGCGTGTTGGTAAAGTTTCACAATCCCGAAAACACCACCCTTACTGTGGATTTGTGGTAAGGAAGAAAATGTGTGAAAAAATATGTGGGTGGAAACGTCACCTTAAAATTCCTGTGACGCATGTAGATTTTGAAGGTGTCTACCGAGCCTCACGTAGCTCCTAATCAATAATGATGAAGTACATTGCCATCTGTGTCTCTCATAAACCTCGCAAGGGGTGTTTCAGAAAATCTTGTAGAGTCAATGTGCCAAAAATAAAAAAAAACACATTTTGAAATTTTTGATCTCACGCATGGAGATTTGAACACGAAACTACAGGATAAAATTTCGACCGAGATTTTCTTCATTTATAATAAACTTGTTATATTGTTGTGGGAAGAAAGCAAGAACTCGTGTGCCTGTTTTCATCCTGCAACAATATTGAAACGTATGGCTTCAGAGCTCTCAGAGTGCAGTTTGTCTATCTAAACCAAGTCGGTGTTTCTACTTAGTGTGCCGTTACGTGTTGTGCCTAGAACATGGCGGGCCTGATGTGTATGTTAATGCAGAGACTTTCAGGTTCATGCCTTTTTATTCAAAGTAGTGTTGTGTTGGAGTGCAAATTTGAGCACTGTACACGAGCTCCCTAATTTCGCGATCTCTTTCTTCTCTGTTGCTTTGTCACCACATCGTGACATTTTGACTTCACGCAGGTTTCCCGGCTGGGCACTTGAAGGCCACACAGACCCGCTTCGTTCCGGCAACGACAGAATGGCCTGGAGTAAAATATTGGGAACCAGGTAACAAAAAGAAAAAGAAGTGCGTCTGCACTTGTGTTTTCTCATATTGCCGTTAATTGCTGTTCATTTGTATTCTTGTATTCCAAGAGTGCATTCGGACACAGGAAACTGGATCGGAGGACAACAGCTATGGCGGGATGGCCGTTGCTGAAGTACCGCATACAGAAGAAAAACACCTGAATAACGGCAAGTTAATATGGTGCTCATGGTTGTAGTGGTAGTAGATGCGTGCATTTGTGCACGCATCTTACAATTCATTTATTAGGTATTGGTGAGGTGACCAGATGAATGAAGTCTGTCTTCTGAAAGACTTCGCCTTTCACATTCCCGCGTTCGATACGTGTTCGCTTCTGATACGTTTTACCGTGTACCACCTGAAAGCGCAGTGGCCTACGCAGAGGCCTGCAATTGCGTTTTTTGCTCCCTCTTACAAAATGCAGTTAATTGAGTACCTCCTAAGGTATGAGCGCTACGTTTCGATACATGCTGTCTGACATGCATGCGTGGCCTAAAGGATCGTGCAATGTTGCATAAACTGGTGAGGTGGTTGCAGAAAAAAAAAGCCACGCAAACTCTTCGAGGGGCACTTTTTCCGCGTATTGGTAAAGTTTCACAATCCCGAAAACACCACCCTTACTGTGGATGTGTGGTAAGAAAGAAAATGTGTGAAAAAATATGTGGGTGGAAACGTCACCTTAAGATTCCTGTGACGCCGTAGATTTTGAAGGTGTCTACCGAGTCTCACGTAGCTCCTAATCAATAATGATGAAGTACATTGCCATCTGTGTCTCTCATAAACCTCGCAAGGGGTGTTTCAGAAAATCTTGTAGAGTCAATGTGCCGAAAATTTAAAAAAAAAACACATTTTGAAATTTTGCACCTCACGCATGAAGATTTGGACGCGAAACTTGAGAATGAAGTTTCGACCGAGATTTTCTTCATTGATAATGAACTTTTGATATTGTTGCTCGAAGAAAGCAGGCACTCGTGTGCCTGTTTTCATCCTCCAACAATACTGAAACGTATGGCTTCAGAGCTCTCAGAGTGCAGTTTGTCTTATATAAACCAAGTTGTTGTTTCTACTTAGTGTGCCGTTACGTGTTGTGCCTAGAACATGGCGGGCCTGACGTTTATGTGAATGCAGAGACTTTCAGGTTCATGCCTTTTTATTCAAAGTGGTGTTGTGCTGGAGTGCAAATTCGATCACTGTACACGAGCTCCTTAATTTCGCGATCTCCTTCTTCTCTTGCTTTGTCACCACATTGTGGCATTTTGACTTCACGCAGGTTTCCTGGCTGCGCACGTAAAAGACACGCAGATCCGCTTCATCCCAGCAACGACCGAGTGGCCTGGAGTAAAATATTGGGAACCAGGTAACGAAAAGAAAGATAATTGCAGGTGCACTTGTGTTTTCTCATATTGCCGTTAATTGCTGTTCATTTGTATTCTTGTATTCCAAGAGGGCATTCGGAGACCGGATACTGGATCGGAGGACAACAGCTGGTGTGGGACAGCAGTTACTGAGGTACCGCAAGCAGAGGAACATTGGGATAACGGCAAGTTATATATATTGCTGATGGTAGTAGTAGTACTAGCACTAGTAGCAGTATTATTATTAATATTATTATTCTTAGTAATAGTAGTAGTAGTGGTAGTAGTGGTGGTGGCGGGGGCGGTGGCGGCGACTGCGGCTGCGGCTGCGGCGGCGGCGGCGGCGGCGGTGGCGGTGGTGGTGGTGGTGGTGGTGGTGGTGGTGGTGGTGGTGGTGGTGGTGGTGGTGTAGGGGCTACAAAGGTTTTTCTGTGGTCCTGAACGAGGCGGAGAGGCTCAAAGAGTTTACAATACAGGCTCCAAAGGGTGCAGCCGCTCGCTGATGCGCCTTGTACGCGCTTGTCAAGCTATGCTTCGATGAATTCTTTGCGTTGAAACCAAATATTGTGGTTGCGGTGTAAGCACATTGTGTTCACCACACTTGGTGCCAATAAATAGTACACAAGGAAAAAAAGACATATAAGACTGTGCGGGTAGCTTAGCATCTTTAGAATCCCACATTCTGGCAGCATATATAGCGTGCACAGAACATATATGCAGTTTATTCGGGGTTCCAGTTCTAGTTCGATTACATTTTTTCCACAAAGTCATGTTCGGGTACAATGATAGAAATACTCACAGACAATTATAGTAATTACATCTAGAGCATACGGCATGAAGAACTTTATTTAATGATCCGGAGAAGTGCCAGCTGTTAGTGTGACACTGCGTGCTACATAAAAATATTATACAAAAAAATATAATACACTGTGAAAAAGTTACCTGGACAGGCCAGCACGGCCGCGAATCAAATCGGACCTGCGCCTGGGCGGCAGTACCTGCAGGCGTGGCTTCATGTTGTTTGCTACAATGCTCGCGCTCTTGCTGCGCCGAACTTGCACTGCCGTGAAACCAACTTTGCTTATAATGTGACGTATTTCCTGCAGTCAAAACAGCCTTTAGATTTAGTGTCAAAACTTGGAGATCGCCTGATCACGAAACGCTAGTGAAGTGCACTTCGTAATAGAAATACTTAGGAAAAATGCAGTTTCATATAGCTTTGAAGTGGAGGTAGTAAGTAGTTATTTCTGAGTAAGAAGTGGAAGCAAATTCTACATTTCTTAAGAACATTTCACAAGGCATCGTTAGTGCAGACATTTCCGTGTTGGCTTTAACGGGTCTAGCAAGCACGATAATTTTGCGTGCATTTTTAGAGAGAGCGTGTCGAGGGCTAGTCCTTGGCCATTGTTCTACGGTCTTGATCACAGGTTTTTGGTGGCATGAGTGGTGTCATCAGATAATATATTGAACAGTAACACGGTTCACTTTAAAATGTAAAGATGAATAATTATAATTCAACTATCTTGCGTACAACTCACTGATAAAAAATATTCATTTGCGTGTTTTAGACACCAATATCTGGCCTTTCTCTCACGTGAACAATAAAACGACACATTGGAGCTTTATAAAACAAGAAAGAGTAGATCGAGAGTTTATTCAAGAATGATAATGGCCAACAATTCTTATGGCTAAAATAAGATCAGGCAATCTGACACCGCACATACTCCTTGGTGACGTCGCAGCATGAAGGTGAGTAAAATTGCCGGTCTGCTCTTATGCTACACCCAATCAACGTGGATTGCAGCTTTGTGATAAACTCGGCCTTGATTGCTTTTTCGCTTCACTAATGAGCGGCATCTCTTGCAGCATAAATGACAGCCCTCAATCTGTCTATAAGACAGCTGTGCAGGTTGCGCAAAGGCCGTGGTTCGCTTTAAGCTGCTCCCATTCTTTTTCTTCAGTGGTCCACAGGGCTTGCACCGTGAGTCGAAGGGGCTTCCGGTGTAACATCAATGCTTTCGTGGGGCTCTACATGTTCTCAATAATACTGAATTCTTGAAATTGCGCACGCCACTCAGGAACTTCCACATACCGAGACTCCAGTAATGCTCCAACTTTTCTGGACTTCTGAATAGAGGAGTGGACGAACTGCAATATAAAGTTGCCGTCAGGGAAGAGCCAGTTCAGAAAGCATGGTGACACGAAGTCGTCCAGGACTAAACAGCTCATGTCAGCAGTGAACTTGTTCACTATCCCCACTTAGGTTCCGCGGCCGGCTGGTGGGAGTGTGCCCCAGACATGCACTCAAAGATGAACGGTCACTGGCTGCTGCTACCCGCTGGATGAATTAGGGCATATATCCAAAAAAAAGAATTTTTTTCCGGAGCTTAGATTTTCATACAAACAAAGCAATACAAAATCGCACATCTGTTTGGACTTCCTGATATGCATGAGCACGTTCAGTAAACGTTTTGAAATTTCAAAAAGTGGGTGATTTTACGAGAGATCGACACGAGTCCAAAAGTTGATATTTTAAATTTCATTGAGTATTTTATATTTCGTGCACCTCTCACCAGGTAGCCCGAAAGTCAACTTCATTTTATGATTAACGGCATAACTTACGAGGAAAAAAAATGTCAAACTTCACCAACACGGAAGCACCAATTTCGTCACCTGTCATTTTCGAAAATTGCAGATGCTATAAAAAGACATATTTTTGTTTCAAGGAAGATCTTTTTTACCTGAAATGCATTTCTAATGAAGAATGAATTCATACGGTTTCAAGTTTGTAGACCTTCAGAAAATAGGTTTTAAATATGTCTAATTATGCGACAGTTAAAAATAAGCTACGTATTCCCCATTTTTTTTTCTCCGAAAATAATGGAAGCAGCATTTCCAAACTTGACACGTTTTAAGGATATAGTGTGTTCATTAGGTACATAAATTATTGCTGCTGTAGGGCAAATGTAAATTTTTATATATTGCCTCAAAGATCTCATATTGGCAAAAGTGTGCTCCACTGAAATTTGAAAAACAAAAAAACCCCATCTTCGATTTTTCTTAAAATCTCGTAAATAGACAACCGAAGGCCGTCATACAATAATATAGAAAAACATGTTGCATTATTTTGTTTTAGTGACAATATTCGTGGTACAAATCAGAGCATTTTCCGAAAATGCGCTGATAAGTTTAGACATCTTGAAATCTGAACGGAAAAGCGGCAATAAGCTTCAAACGCGAGTAAACGTGACCGCATTTGGTGAAGAAAGGCTGTTTTAGCAGATAGGAGTAACTATTTTGAACACGGTATTCTACAGTATCTGAGTTCACTTTTATACGTAGAGCACTGAGGCTTCTAATATGTGATCCCTCTCCATTACTGACAGACAGATCGAGCTGTTGAGATGGCCATGTGTTTGCAACATGTTGGGTAAGATAATTGAATGTTGAATGAGTTTATAAATGATTGATAACAAATTTTTATCATTTGGGGCACGAAGACTGCCGCATTAGACTGAAGAACACGCTTTAGGGCAAGTTGTCATCCGTCGTCTGCTCTACAGATGAATTGCTGTGCGCCGCATCTCGAAGGCGATGCTTTAGATCATATGGTTCAAAGTAGGGACAAAGATTACGCCTCACGTAATTTTATCGACAAAAACATTGTGAAATTCATTTTAACGTACTATACTTCAGTTCTGCATTCGCACTATGGATACTTGTGCGCAAGTATCCGCAGTGCGAATGCAAAACTGAAGTATAGTACGTTACCTAAAAGGGGCGCAGTGAAAAG